GCTGCTGAGGGTGATAAACCCGAAGTTGACAAGTGAAAGGCACAATCCCAATATTACCAAAACCACACCGCAGGTCATTAATTCAAGTCCAGAAAAAGTCCCAAAATTGTCAGGGCAATATGGCAGGCTACTGAATGATGTCTCACCTACATGCAGGGTTCAAGCATGCCATCAAGCTGGAGACCTTCCTCAAAGTTGCTTCTTATATACTGGAAGCAACCCACATCCCTAAAGCAGCTACTCAGCTGTTCCAGTAGATTCCAGCATGGAGTTAATTACTACTCTCACCATGGGCAATAACTACATCCAGCTTCCCAGCCACTCAACCAGGCCCAGCCAAGTTGATTTACAACCTTAACTACCACATGAACCATTGAAATTCGGTAGGGATCAACAAGCCTTACTGATCTTTTTTTAACTTTTTAGGAATGCAGTAATCAGAAATAGCGATTGTGTTGAAGACAGCTGTACATCTGGCTGCTTGCTGGATATGATAATAATGCTTAATAACAATGCATTCTAATTAATTTCAATAAATTTCAGATTTCAATATAAGTATATTAGGATTCTAATTTTAGAACTTCCAAATTCAAGAGTATAGATAACACCAATGGTTGTGATCCACAAAGTCAGAAAGCAAGATTTCTAATCATTTCTAAAAATACATAGAATACAATTTTTTTCTAGAATTACCTTGGTTGCTTCAAAAGTTATACAAACAAGTGATAGTTCAAATGTTAATGGAATGATATGGCTTCCTCAAGGGAAAATACAAGACCCAGAAACTGAGTAGATACATGAAATGAGCATGCTTCAGTAATAGCATCTATATTTGACAGCACTTAATGATCTAACCCAAGAGTTCTCAAATCTGGCATTACCATTATCAAGGGTATTTCAAAAAAATATAAAAGTAATCATCTCCGCCCCCCAACACACCCATTTCACTGAATCAGTATATTGAGAACAGGGACTGATAATTTGTAACATTCTATCCTGGTAATCATGACGCA